TTGATTAAACCATCCCTGAACCCTCCTCATCCCAGCAGGGATCACTGCCTGCAACACCAGGCTCAGCCCAGGCACCAGCATCTCACACCCCACAGCTCCCAGCACGACCAGCAAGGGCTCCACTGGGAGGGGTTTAAGCAGGGCTGAAGGAGCCCAGACGCGATCTTTGGAGTATTTATCGCGAGGGATTCGTGTGACACGTACCCAGTGGTGGGCACTGCCCAGGTGATCCCGGTGCAGCTCCTGGGAGCAGCAGGAACGTGCCCACAGCCCGGGCAGGGATCAGCCCAGCCCTCCAGGGACGGGCCCTGCAGCCTTGAGCAATGCCCTGCTCACAGCCCCGTGTTTGTGGCGGCTGCCTGAGCAGCGGGGTTTGTAGGAACTCCTCTCTTGTAAGCAGGGTAAAGAACGCCACCGTGGTTTATGATGTTGTCACAAGGCACTGGGGATGGGAAGGAAATTTCCACTCACCTGTCTCTGTGGCCACAGCACAGACAAGGGTCAGGCAGGAGAATCCCAGTAAAGGCACCTCTAAAGGAGCCTCCATCAGCCCATTTCCCCCCCCAAGAGCTTGCTTCCTACGGCCAACAGGTCTCGGCACCAGTGTGTAGATATCACTGGGATGTGGAGAGTGAGAGCTGGGTTTGCCTGGTCCCTGTGAACCCCCAGACCTGGGGGATGGGGAAATGCCTGATTCAACCCTGTCAGCCCACAGGGCACCATCTCCTGGGGCCAGCTCCCAGCAGGCCCATGGCATCCACCTGTCACCAGCCCAGTGCTCCTTTGGGAAGAATTTTAACTTGGGCAGAAGGAATCCAGATTTCATTCATTTTGGGGGTATTTAACAGGAGAGATTGATGTAGCACATATCCAGATTTCAGCTGGTCCTTCCTTGCAGCAACTCCCACGGTGCCACAGGGGTGCTTCCAGCGCTGCCAGGATCCCAGATCCCAGATCCTATATCCCAGATCCCAGATCCCAGATCCCATATCCCATATCCCAAATCCCAGATCCCAGATCCCAGATCCCAGATCCCATATCCCAAATCCCATATCCCAGATGCCAGATGCCAGATGCCAGATCCCAGATCCCAAATCCCAGATCCCAGATCCCAGATCCCAGGTCCCCAGTGGCACCAGCAGCAGGGGTGAGTCCCAGGAGCACCAGGACAGGTTCCTGGCCAGGGAAAAGGCAGCCAAGTGGCCGATCCAGGCTGCTGCTCCCCATTCCTGGCACAGGAACGCTGCCAAGGACGGTGCCACTGAGGCCAGGCTCTGTGTCCCAACAGGTGGTGGCTGCAGAGCACGGCAAGGTCACAGCCCAAACGCGAGGATTAACCCCCTGTCCTTGGCTTTTAAACATTTACCACTCTTGAGGGAGCGGGGATGCTTGCCTGAGCAGAGGAAACGCTCCTCACTCAGGTGACAAAGACATGAAATATTGCTGAGCACAGGCCTGAAACAGGACAGAACAAAAGCACAGCCTTGAGGGAAGGGTTTCCCTTGGCTGGCAGCTCCAGCCTCAGCAGCTGCCGGGCGTTCAGAGGTGCCAGGGACACGCAGAGGACACAGCCCCGCTCTCAGAGCCATCACTGGAGATGAAATCCTCGGCACCAAGGTTTGCTCAGTAAGACACACGGAAACTCTGCCCGTGGGAAAAGGCGTGGGGATGAGAACAGATAAATCTGTTCATATCAGCAGACACTTATTTTTGTCCTTGTTTGGGCTTGCACCGATTTGTTAGATAAGTGACAATAGCAACTGTGTCAATTAGTACAGGAAGTGGTGGCACCAAACAAGACAAGGCTTCCAAAAATACTTTTTAGGAATCACAGAGAACGTTTCCCTCATCCATCCACCTGGGCAGGAAAGCCAGAACAGCCCTGTTTTATCCACCCCACGTTCCACTCCTCATTTCACCGTGCAGATCTGCCACTTTTCCTTTGCTTTTCCATACAAACCAAAGCACACAAAAGAGGGTCTGTACAGAAAACCAAATTTGAGGGTTGGATGATCTTTAATATCCCTTCCAATCCAAACAGTTCTGGGATTCTAAACCCAGACCACTCAAACTCCAAAAACCACTTAAGCAGATGCTAAAGAACATCACCAAGTACTGTCAGCACTCAGTCACAGGATCCTGGTTTGGGTTGCAAGGGATGCTGAAACCCATTGTGCCAGGGCCTCCCAGGGAAGAATCTCATCCTAAAATCCAATCTAAACCTCCTCTCTGGCAGTTTGACTCCCCTTTTTCCCCTCACTCCATGCTCTTGAAATCCTTCACGTGCTGGTCCATTTTAAAGACCAGAATCCCAGCTGCTGTCTGTATAAAAGTTATTGCAAAATGTTCTGGTGCTGCAAGGGAAGACCCCAGCAAATCCAGCATCGGGGTCAGCTCGAGAAGAGCCATAAAGAGCAGAGCAGCTCCTGTGGCACTGCCTTATCTTCCCGTGTTTATCTCGGAGAGTCCCCGGGATTACACAACTGCTGCTGAAAGAGAACTTGCAGAATGATTTGCAGCTCGTAGCTGTGGCACAGGTGAGGTGACCTCTGGCCCTCCACTGAGCCCACGTTGTGTAAGAGTTTTCCCTCCAGTCGCTGCCTCGGTGCAGATGGAAATTTCCAGGATCCTTAATGCGGACTGGGCGTTGTCTGCTGGGGAGCAGGGACGGATTTGTGTCAGTTCTGCACTCACAGACTGGCGTTTGAGCGGGGAAAATTACCACCCAAGTAGGATGAAGCCATTCAGGCCTTAATTCTGCTATTTCAAATTCTTAATTCTGGTGTTTGGAATAAAATCCACCGAGCTCCCACAGAAGGGATGGATGCTCCTGGTCCCACACACCCCTGCAATGAGCTGGCCCCTGGCTGTCTTGTCAGCCCACCTGCTTCTCCATCCTCAAAAACCACAATCTCCTGTGCCCCAGCAGCTCAGAGACCTGGAAAATTGTGTAAACTCAGAATGGGGAGCTGGTAAATCTGCAGAGGGGCTGGAATACCAGCACTGCTTTTCATTCTGCTGGGCAAGCCCTGGCAGGGACTCAACAATTTAACTTCTTGGAAGGCAATTTCTTCTATCCATCCTTGAAGAGTGAGCAGGGCACGCTCGGGGATGGGTGATGTGGCTGGGACACAGGCACAGGGCAGACCAGGCAGGCAAAGCCAGGCCAGCAGCCAGCACCGAGTGTGGACGGGCAGGGGGAGTTCCTGGCTCCTGCTGGAACAATCCGTGCCAGGGACCACTGCCTCACCTGGCCACAGACAGGGCCCAGCCTCCTCCTGAGCAAAGCTCCCCATCCCACTCCCCACTCTGGGGAACCCTTCCTGAGCACAGCTGCTCTGCAATCCCTCCCTGGGTGGGCAGGACAGGCTGCCCAGAGCAGCTGGGGCTGCCCCTGGAGCCCTGGGAGTGTCCCAGGCCAGGCTGGACAGGGCTGGGAGCAGCCTGGGATGGTGGAAGGGGTCCCTGCCCAGGGCAGGGGTGGAACTGGGTGGGCTTTAAAGGCTCCTTCCAATCTAAACCATTCGATGACTCCTAGAGATGAATTCTGTCGGCCCAGCAGCACCAATCCCCCGGGGAAAGGCCAGGCTGGAGCAGGAGGGAGAGGCAGAGCTCCAGGGGCAGCTCCAGGGATCCCCCATCCCACGGGCAGCAGCAGCAGCAGGCAGAGGCCGCCTCTCCTGCCTGGAACAGCCTCCTGAGCCAGCAGCTCCTGAGCTCCAGCAGCACCCTCCACATCCAAACATTCCCTGGAGAGAGCTCAGAGATTTGTTTCTCTATCTCAGTCAGCACAAGGCTGAGCACCGGGCTGCCCACCCGTCCTCCCCCACGAGCTGCCAGGGATCCTGCTTCCTTTGATCCTGCTGCAACCCCGGAGCACAGCCTGACCCAATTTCCTCACCACTGCTGCCAGCTCCGAGGAGACACTCTGCCAGAGTTCCTGGGAGTGATTTCCCTTCTCCCAGCCGGGTGCTGAGCAGCTGGGACAGGGCAGGGGCACCGTGGTGCCCTCACCCCACGGCAGCGGCTCCGCGCCGGGCTGGGCTCCCCACGGGGCAGCAAATTACACAGACACCCAAAATAGAACTGATGAGCACCAGGATCTGCCTCCTGCCAGCACAGACATTATTCCCAAACACAAAGGGATGAAATTGTGACAAAAAAAAGACACAAAAGGCTGATGGAGCTCAGGACAGCTCCGCAATGAGCCGCGCTCCAACGCGCCGAGATGAAAAATGCACCAGCTCAGGGGATGCTCCTCAGGTGGGACCAGCTCCAGGGGAACAGGTTTGGATGTTCCAGGGCAGCTGGGACTCCAGCTTGGCTCAGAAAGATGCTACAGGAGGCTCAGGGAATGTGGTCCCAAAGGGGATCTGGCTAAATTAAATGGATAATAGAGATGGGCTTTCATGCAACTCTGAATTGCTCATTTAATTCCCAAGAAATGAGCAGGACAGTGTTGGTGCATTAGTGACTGCTCAGGAAGGCTCCTGCAGTGCAGAGGGGCTCTGGTGGGGTTTGGGTTCATTTTTAACCCCTGAAGGAAAGGTCATTTCACAGGATGGGTTGGGTTGAAGGGACCTCAAAGCCCCCCCAGTGCCACCCCTGCCAGGGATCCAGGGACAGCCACAGCTCTCCTGGGCCTGCCAGCAACTGCTTTGAAAGATATTCCTGGTGAGGCATTGGGTGAGAGCAAAAATGTCACCAAACCAGACAGGAACAGGTCATTTCTAGCAAGAAAGACAGGAGACCAATTATAAATACTAAACATTTATTATTTTTCTCATAGGAAGGTTACAAGATTCAATTTCAAACAACAGGACAAGGGCTTTCATTGCTGTTGGGATTCTGTTTTGCTTCTTTTAAGGGGAAAGAGAGAAGGAGGAACTGGTGTAAAGATACTACCAGAAGCAGTGCAAATTGAGATTAATTTCTTTCTTCAGCATCCCAGTGCTGAAACCACAAGCTAAGCCTTTCCCAGTTCAATCAAACCCATTTTCCAGTTTCTTGTACATCGCTGAACACAGCCAGGACCCTCCTTCTCCTTCATTCTTCCCCTCCAGGAACACCCAGCAGTGACAGTGAGCAGCAGTGAAGCCTGGAGAAGCCAACACACTTCATCAGAATCTGACCTGACCAGAACAGAATGCACAGAATTCCCTCCCTGCCCACCCAGGGCAGGCTCCCTCTGCTGCAGCTGCCCAGCGCTGCTCCCCAGGCTCCTGCCACCAACACCGGCTACACATCCACAAAAACACGGGAGAGGGAAACCAAAGAACCCAACAACACTTCACTTTCAGCTTTAAACTAAGGAAGGCAAGCTTTACACAGGAGTTACTGACACCTTGTGCACCGTTAGACAGATGGGAACGGGAGGCAAGTCCTGCTCACAGAAAATGTTCCTTGAAACCACCCCAGGGCACCAGGCCCGTCCCCAGCAGCAGCAGCAGGAGCTGTCCCAGCCACAGCCCGGGGCTGCCACGTGCAAATCCCATCCTCTCCACGTCCATGGGGCTCCACAGGGCTCCCCTCCCCTCAGAAGTCGATGTTTGCCAGACCTGTGTGAAGAGAAAGAGGGATTTGGGGGAAGGAGGGAGGGTTTATCATTCCCTGCCCTTCACTGAAACCAGGTCAGCTACACACAGCAAGAAAGATGCTTTAAGAGTTAATTCATTTTTTTAAACTTAAACATAAAGGATTTGGTGTGAGGAAAGCAGGAAACGGGTTGGGCTGCACTTTTTTGGTTTTTTGACCCTTTTTTGATTGTGATTTAATTCATTTGATGAAGTCAATTTGCAGGAGCACTGGAGTTATTCATGGCAGAAGGAACACCACAACATTCAGGAACCTCAGGGTCTGCCCATGAAATGAAGACAAAGCAGGGGAAATCACCACTAACGAGGGCAGTAAATCCACACTGGATAAAAAAGCCCTGCTTTAGATTGAGCCATATCCATGTCCAGTGATGATCACCTTTGAGATCACTGCCTGTTCTAACTTCTCCCTGCACCCCTCAGTTCCCCAAACTGTCCTAAGCCCTTCTCTAACAACAGCAAAAGAGCAATGCTGAGATCCCCAGCACAGGGGAACTTTGGGGCCTGAGCTCCTCTAAAAATGAGTTGTGTATTACAGTCCCCACTTCTCAGCCTGAAGGAATCCAATGCAGAACACGGCTTTTTGAGCTCAGAGCTCTGGAGGATTCAGGAGAGCACCACCACAAGGCAGCAGCTCTGTCACAGCAGCAGCAACAGGGTGTTGAAGAGCTCCTTTCACCAGTTTTTATTTGATTTCACCAGCTCTGTCAGAGGCTTTGCTGCCCAGCCAGGCTGCAGAGACCAGATCTATTCCTGTTTGCTGAGGAACAGTCAATAAAATCTGCTCTTGGATGCTCTGTCAGGAGCAGGGGAAGGGCAGAGAGGATGCAGCAATGATACAAGTGGCAGGCAGAGGTTTTCTGGAAAGACTGAAGTGTCTGAAATTGCAGCCAGAAGTAGAGACAAACTGACTGCAACAGAGTTGTCTTTCTAATCTGGACAAATACAGGCTGTGGCCATCCATCCCTCAGCCAAACAACCATTCCCCTCATTTCATCATTTCTTGGGCAGCAGCAACATCCAAATGCTACAGAAAGCCTAAATCAAGTCTCTCTCTCACAGAAATTCCAGTCTGGGAGAGGCAGAATTTTAAGGACGAAAGGAACATGTAGAAGAGATAATTTCAGAGGGAATACTTTTCCCTGGGGAGAAAGTGCTGTGAAAACTTCAGTGTCAGATGGCTGCAAATGGGGACAGAGCAAAGAAGCCTGGGATAAGTAATACAAATTTATTTTTGTGTTGTCAGGACACTGTGCCTTCATATACCGTGTGCCCATATGGCACTTCCCATGCATGGGATTTGTAAACCTTTCAATTAGCACTGATGGGATAAAGCAGGCAGTTATTTAAAGTAACCCATACGGCATCTTCTGGTGGAAAAACTCCAACTCCCCTGTACTGGACAGGCTTCCCACTTGGATGCCCAGAAAGCCTCCCAAGGCTGGGGAGGAACAATCCCCAGCTGGGAGGGGCTGCAGTCCTGGAGCAGGGGGGCTCTGAGGCACAGCTGCTGTGACATCCCAAGCCCAGCCCTCCCACAGGACATTTCCATGGCAGGATCACCCCCAGGAGAACATTACCCAGGTTGCTGCTGTCCTTGCAAGCCCAGCAGATGCAGTAGTGCTGCATCAGTTGTTCAAACAGTTCCTTTTCATCCAGGAATTCAAGGGCTTCTATTCTGCAAGAGTAAAACAAAAGTCGGGATTTGAGCTGGACTCTCAGCAGGATTTTCACTGAATTGTTCACTCCATGGGAGTGAAAACTGTGACCAGAAAGGCAGTTACCTCTCCAGGGAATAATTACAGGTATTTATCCATGATGCCACCCCTGTCAATGTATGGAACAAGTGACCCACAGGTGCTTTCAGCTCCTCATCCCTGGGACTCCCTGTTCCAGGACTCATCCCTGGAACTCCTCACAAAACCAGGGCTGCAACTGAGGCTCTGAAGGGGCCAAAGTTCCTAAGTGAACTCCCAGGTGTGAAGTGCTGCAAAGGAACACTCTGGGAAAGGCTTTTCTAAAGAAAAAACATTTGCCTCACTGCTACTGGAGGACAGAGTTTACATAACCCTATTTCCTGGCATGTGGAACAAGTGCAAGGAGCTGAACAGATCCAAGGTAGCCAAAAATGCTGCAGAGAAAGCACGAGCTCTGTGTCTTCACCAGTGCCATATGGTCCCACCACACATCCCTGTTCCTATTTAAACCACCTCTGATTTCCCCTCTCACCTGTTCAGTTCCAGGCTTGGAGAAACCCCCATACGTGAATATTTTGACCAAGGTAACTTGCTCAGCTAATTCCAACTATGAATGACTCACAGCATTCCACATTTCACATTATATCCCTCAGAAGACACTCCTTCAAATTTCCCAGTGTTTAGCATTTAATGCAGAAATATTAACAAAATCCAGGCAGATCAGTGACTGTTAAACAGCCTTTAGTCCCTGCTCTGAGCTCTGCAGAGCCAGCAGTCCCCCCCTCATGATCTCAACGTGTCATGGTTTAACCCCAGCCAAGATCTTCACAAGGAACATCTTGGGGACTGCAAAAAGTCAACACAGCATTTCTGTGGCATCTCCCATCTGCAGATTTCTGTCATGAGAGATGCCTTCTGTCACACCCAAATAAGCCACCACTACTTCCAGTCTGCTCCTGGCAGCGTTCACCCTCTGGATCATCAATCCAGGGATTATCCTGGAGCTCTGCAGAGCTTCAGGCTCAGCAATGCTGTGTCTCCCTGGGCAGCACCTGCCTGCAGCGTCCTCCCCGTTACACTTGGATGGGAAGGACCTCGGAAATGGTGTCTGCAGATGACTTTTGGGTCCAAAAGTGGTACCTTTTGACATCAGCCTGTGGCAGGAAGCTGTACACCTTCATCATATCGATGGCACGGGCGTTTTCCCAGCCATTAACCAGCAGCCGTTCCCTCTGGAAAACAAAGGGCAGCACAGCTCTCACAGGGTTCCAGGGAAAGTCCCTGAGGACGGCAGGACAGCGTTGCCCTGTAAGGATTTCTCTGGGAGCTGACTGAGCTGTGCTCTGAAGAGCTCCCAAGCTCTTCCCTAACCCTGTGCTGCTGCTCTGTGCAGGGTGAGCCCTGAGCAGGAGCTTCTGTGCAACACTGACATTCAGCAATCAAAGAGAAGCTCTGGGGTGACCTAACTGTGGCCTGCCAGGACCTGAAGGAGCCAACAAGAAATGTGGAGCGAGACTGTTTACAAGGGCTGGAGTGCCAGGACACAGGGAATGGCTCCCACTGCCAGAGGGCAGGGCTGGATGGGATTTTGGGCAGGAATTGTTCCCTGGCAGGGTGGGCAGGCCCTGGGATAGAATTCCCAGAGCAGCTGCGGCTGTCCCTGGATCCCTGGCAGTGCCCAAGGCCAGGCTGGATGGGGCTGGGAGCAGCCTGGGAGGGTGGAAGGTGTCCCTGCCATGGCAGGGGTGACACTCCATGGTCTCTCAGTCCCTTCCAAGCCAAACCATGCCCCGATTCCACAATAACGTGGCCAGCAAAGGGCTCAGTGGGTCCCTGCTGAGCCCCCCAGGGCACACTCACCTCTCAGAGCCAGGCTACCACAGCCCAGCCCCAGCCCCCTGAGCTGTGCCCTCACCTGAGAGTCCAGGGAGCTGCAGAGCTCCACCCCGGCCAGGTTGCACTGCCGGCGCTGCAGGTTCTCGATCATGATCTGCCCAAAGCGGTCCCTCATGTTCACCTCAGGGAGAGAAGGACACAAAAGTGGAGACAAAAATGTTCCCCCTTCCCAGCACAAGGGAACCGTGGGGAAAAGCAGGAACCCGCTCAAACCCTTCCAGCTCCTACGTCACAAAAGGCACAGCAGGGCAGTGAGTGGCACGGCCTCACAGCAGCTGTCACTCCACACTCCCTCCTCATCCTCCTCCTCGGGAGCTGCCCCAGGGACAGGGGACAGTGCCCCAAGGGCAGGGGACAGTGCCTCAGGAGCAGGGGACAGTGCCCCAAGGAGCAGGGGATAGTGCCCCAGGGACAGGGGACAGTGCCCAGGAGCAGGGGACAGTGCCCAGGGACAGGGGACAGTGCCCCAGGAGCAGGGGACTGGGCAGGGGACAGTGCTCCAGGGACAGGGGACAGTGCCCAGGGACAGGGGACAGTGCCTCAGGAGCAGGGGACAGTGCCCAGGGACAGGGGACAGTGCCCAGGGACAGGGGACAGTGTCCCAAGGGCAGGGGACAGTGCCCCAAGAGCAGGGGACAGTGCCCAGGAGCAGGGGACAGTGCCCCAGGAGCAGGGGACAGTACCTCAGGAGCAGGGGACAGTGCCCAGGGACAGGGGACAGTGCCCCAGGAGCAGGGGACAGTGCCCAGGGGCAGGGGATAGTGCCCCAGGGACAGGGGACAGTGCCCCAGGAGCAGGGGACAGTGCCCCAGGGGCAGGGGACAGTGCCCAGGGACAGGGGACAGCAGGGCTGGCAGCACAGCTGCTCTGCTTTCAGCCCTCACTAACTCCCCCAGCCCTGCAGCAGCCATTTACAGCTTGCAGGATCCTGTCACTAACTCCTGGAGCCACCCAGCTCCCCCGAGGCAGTGCTTTACCTCCACAGGGAGACACAGGGCTCATGCTGATGTGCTTTTTGCTCCACTTTGCCAAAGAACACAGAGGTAATTATGTAATGTCATAATCCAGAGCCAGCACTCAGCATCGTTTCTTTCTCCTCTGCTTTAGCTAAATCAATATTCTATGGTTTTTTCCACGTATGGATTAAGTCTCAATTATTTTGCTTCAACATAGTCCAGAAATTGTCTTTCAGAATAGCAGTATTTTCTCTATATTGGGCTAACCAAGCTACAAGTTAAAACACATTACTACAGAAATTCAGCAGAAACTGCTGTTTCTACAAAAGGACATGGCCCACTCTCATTCCTCAACAACTCCCACCTACGAGAGCAATTTTAATGCCAACAATGCAGGTCTCAAAATGCCCCTTTGGCTTTACCTGCTCATAATTGATAACCATGGCCACGGGGAAGGTGCTTGCTGCCCACTTGAGCAGGTTTGCAGACTGCTGGGGGGTCATGTAAACCAGCACACACTCGGCCACCAGCAGCGTTGGCAAACTGCAAAACAAGAACCAAAGGAGAGTGGGATTTCCAGCAAAAGAACGAGAAAAAGCTAAAAAGGATCGTGAGCAAGCAAGGCACTTCGTGTCCACAGAGTTTCCTGAAACAGCTCCATCTTTTATGAACCAGACACTGAAGTCTGAATGAAATCTCCTCATCACATTGAGTAAAACTGGGATTTCTGGCAGCTGAGAATTAATGAACTACAGGAGACTCCCGTGGTTGTGAACCAGGGATTTTAGGGATCAGTCTCCCCAGAGTCAGCCCTGAGCACAGAGCAGTGGGCATTCTCCAAGTCCTCTGTGACAGCAGGAACTGAGGTGTGTTAAAATTCCCTCTGCAGGACAATTGTGCCCTGTGGGCACAGCTCACAGTCCTGCAGAGATCAGTGAAACCAGGCATTAATTACAAATTGAAAAAAGAAAGTTTTCTCTTAAAAAAAAAAAAAAAAAAGTTCTGAGAAGAATTTTAATTAGACAAATTTGTTCACTTATCTCTAAAACAATTTTCACATATTATTATCTAACAAAATGTAATCTATAGTTTGCACGTTGCCTCTTCCCCCTCCATCCACAAAACAACAAAAATAGACATCCACACAAGTGATTCTTCTTCACAATTATTGAGTTTGCTTTTAATTGCTGGAATGAAAGGGGAAAAAAAGTCACTAGAAGCAGGAGAAATTCCACAAGGAGCAGCAATGTAGGCAAGCAAGGCAACATTTCAGAGGATGGAAGTGTAAAGAATTAAATGGCAATTTGATGCATTCTGCTTCCCCATATGCTCTCTCCCACCCAGCCAGATCGCTGCTATTTATATTGCTTAGATTTTAAAGGTCTGTCCATCATCCACTCAAAAACTCAACTCCTGCCCCCCCAGAGCCTCATGCTGAACAAGAAAACCCCAGAGGAGCTTTGGGATTCAGACCCCAAGGACTCCACTGCAGTCCCACCCAAAGGTTCAGGGAACAACAGGGGTTTAAGAGGAGGCCACAGAAAATAATTACAGAGATAAAACTCAGAGAATCCTGGAATGGTTTGGGTTGGAAGGGATCATAGGGACCAGCCAGTGCCACCCCCTGCCATGGGCAGGGACACCTTCCACTACCCCAGCTCCAAGCCCTGTCCAACCTGGCCTTGGACAAGGGATTCCACAAGCTTCCACTGAAAAAACCAAACCAAACAAAAACCAAAGCAAACCAATGGAAACCCTATGATCTTACTGTACATCCAAGCTGTGTTTCTTTAGCTTTTCCTCCAGATCTGATGAGAAACGGAGGTCTGCCCCCACTATGGAATATCGACTGGAGTCCAGGCTGTGGGAATCTGCAAGGCAAGAATTTGGAGAGACTAACGTTAAAAATGAGAGGCTGCTGGAGTTCTCAATCCAAAAAAACTACACAGGAGCTCATGGATTGGGAGCCAAAGCTTGGTGTGTTGTACTGAACTCTGAGCAGCAAACTCTTCCCCTTCAGACATGAATTCCCTTCCCAGTTGTGTTTTGCAGTGCTCCATCTCAGCAGACCCTGCACTGAGCCTCTCCCTCTGCAGCCACGCTGAAGCAGAGAGGTTATCCCAGCCGTTACCATGGCTCCCAGGAATGCAGAGAGAAGGAAAATGGCAAGATTAAAGGCAAGATTTTCATTTTGTTTGGAGTGTCTTCTCAGATGGCACAAGGTATGTGTATAGGAACTACATGAAAGTACATCAATTTCTGAAAAACTGACAATATTTCAAATCTTAATAACATAATCTTAATAACATAAGATTATTATTATATCATATAATGATATAGCTATATCAACATCAATTAACTATCTATGTAGTTAAATAATAAATGTGGGGAGCAGATATGGACTTGGGGCCAAAAGAAGTTATCATTTAGCCTTTTGGTATGATTTAATGGTGGTATTTAAGGAAAGAGTCAAATTATTGAAGGGACTCTGAGCAACAGATATTCCCCTGGGATACAACAGGATCCTGTGGGTTCTTGTGGACGCTTCCCAGCACGAAGGAGGGACAAATCCCAGAGTCCAGGGAGCCCCTGCCATGCTGGCACAGCTGGGAGGAGGCAGCAGAGCCTCCTGCCATCAGGAATTCTGACACCCAGCAGCAATGAACGCACCCAGATGAGCCCAGTGCCCACAGGAGGCACTTCCCAAGGGCTCCACCAAACCCACCCAGAGCCAAAGCCCTGCAGGAATACTGGCATGGCTCTGGAACACCTCAGATATCCTGGAGGGGGTTCCAGACCTCCCTGGGCAGCCCCTTCCTGTCCCTGACCACCCTTTCCATGGAGAAATTCCTCCTGGTGTCCAAGCTGAGCCTCCCCTGGCACAGCTTGAGCGAGGAAAGAAGAGAAGCCAAGTGGCTGAAGGGACAGGATGAAAGGGGTTTCAGTTTCAGGAGAGGGGAACAAAAAATCTGGGGACAAGTGTGGGTTTTGCCAATTATTGTATCAAGCACTGATCCAACATTCCAGAGGATGCACCTCTGTTTAGTTTTCAAGTGACCACCTCCCTGAAAGAGGCACCAGCAAATGACAACAGCTGCCATTCCAGCAACACTTGGGAGCAGATCCAGGAATCAGAAACAGTTCAGAAAGAGAGTTACAAGGGAAAAAAAAAAAAGAGAAAAAAAAAAAAAAAGTTGTGCGGCAAATGATTCAACATTTTGAGTCAAGGCTTTTTCCATGTGCATGTTCTGTAATAGCTTTACTACTTCCCACACCCTTCTATTTAAGTGATTACATCAAGGCCATGATAATGGCATCAAAAAAAGCCACCCAAAAACCCCACCACACACAGGGAAGTGTTTAAATAGGGATTGGTTTCTGTCCATGGATACGGCACAGCGAGCGTCAGCCACCACAATTAGTAGGGAATTAATGCCAGCTCCCTGTCCAGCTTTGGAGCTTGGACACACAAATACATCAGTAAAGAACAGAAATAAAAGCCAGAAATAAACCTCAAAACTTTTTAAGGAGAGAAGGAGCACAAACACACCAAGGTGGAAGTCTGATTTGAGCGTTTTTATCATAAAATCCCGAATTGGTTTGGATTGGAAGGGACCATCCAGTGCCACCCCCTGCCATGGGCAGGGACAGCTTCCACCGTCCCAGGCTGCTCCAACCTGGCCTGGAACGCTTCCAGGGATCCAGGGGCAGCCCCAGCTGCTCTGGGAACCTGTGCCAGCACCTCCCACCCTCCCAGGGAAGGAATTCTCCTCAGTAGCTCACCTAAATTCCCCCCTCTTCAGTCTGATCAGACTGAACAAGACAAACCTCAACTGCTCCATCACCTCCCACTTCGGGAGCAAACTATCACTGATGGCAGCTGCAACTGCCACTGTTCCCAGCCTGGAGGCCAGAAATCCATCCCCAGACAGCCCAAAAGCTGCAGCACTGCTGGGACATGGCTGGCACAGCTCTGCCTCACTGCAGCTGGAGACTCTGGGGCTGGGCTGTGCAGGGCTGCACTGGGATGTTCCCTGGGGGTCCCTCCCCATTCAGGATGTTCTGTCAATTATGAAGTCACCAATCTGCTGCCCAAGATCAGCAGCTGTGCTGCCAATGGATTTTACAATTCCTGCCCATCCACAGGGCAGCTGCAAAAGGAAAACCGAGTTCCAGCTTGGCAGCACAGTCATGTGGTCCCATTGATTTCTTCTGAGGAACAACAGTTTGTTTTAACTGGATTGATTTTGTGTGTATGTTCAAGCCCTTGTGCTCATTCTCACTGCAGTGCTGTGACTCAGGCCACAATGCTGGCACTGACATTTGGTGGCTCAAACCACTGAAAATCCCAAATTGCAGGTACCAATTCCTACCCAGGCACCACCACCTTGTGTTGGTTTCTAGTGAGGTTGTTTGGTTGGGTGTTCTCCTCTAGAGAGGGGATTTGTGTGGGACAAAGATTCTCTCTGCCCTTGGCTGAAATGAAGGTTTGAGGAACACCAAACTCAGATTTAATTTGAGAAATGCAAGGGAGGGGGGAGAGAAGGGGAGAAGGATGAGCCCCACAACTCCACCTACCCCACCCAGGCTCTCCTGGCCCAGGCTCAGGGTTCAGCTCTCCAGGGATAATCAATAGAGAATGCTCTGGGCACACACTTGTATGTTTATTTTCCATGGCTTTGGCACAGAGGTAACAACACAAGTGGTTCCAATTTCACAGTCATAGAACAAGACAAGCTTGTAGTAACTGAGTAGTAGCAGGAGCTGCTTGTAGCTGCCTTTTGACCTCAGCACATTGAATCTTTTCTTCCCAGCAATGTTAGGAGAAGAAACTGCTGTGCTGAGGGAGGCCTCAGGCCCTCCCTGCTGCCAGGGCAGCGCTGCAGCCTCCAGGCACACCAAGCTCTTCCTCTGCCACAAGAATCCAGCTTTCTTCTCTTACTCTCTTCTCACATTAGTGCAACAATTTCCTGGAGGTTTTCCAAGAGACAGCATGCAGGATACTATTGACTCAAAGTGATTTCATTAGGATTTTCATGCTAAGGTCTCTGGCAGCTTTACAGAGCAGCAGCCTGTGCTGCATGCTGCTCTGCCCCAGCTCAGGCTTCACTCCACCAGCCCAGCAGGGCACTGCCACACACCCAGCTCATCCTGCAGGCTCAGGGTCAGCCCCTGCAGGTCCCCCTGACACCCACCCTGGCTCACAAGGAAATCTGGGGATGGAGGGAAGCTCAAACAACCAAGCTGGCCCAGAAGGTGTGAGTGGCACACCAAGGGAACAGCTCACCAGGGGCAGTTTGTACCTGCCCAGAGCTGCAGCACTGCCCTCCCAGCACCAGCAGCATCCCCCAGCAGAGCAGGGAACCTTGAGAATGATCTGCTGGGTACTGCCCCAGGGCTGCCTCTGCTTTCCCTGGGGCTGTGACGGGCTCACCTCGCTGCACTCCTGGGCACCACCTCTGTCCTGGAGCTGCTCTGGCCACAGCTGCCCAGCACACGCTGCCCTGATGCCACTCAAGCTGAGCATTGGCAGCAGCTCCTCATCCAGGCTGAGCAGAAAAGCTGGGAGAGAACCTGAATTGTGTCAATCTGCATTAGCACAGCTCAAAACCAGAATTCCAAACCATCTAAACAAATCATTCCTGGTACATCAGGGACAGGAGTGTGAGCTGATGAAATCATTCCTGGTACATCAGGGACAGGAGTGTGAGCTGATGTGGGGAGGAAGGCACAGGGAGGGACAGGACTCTAAAATCCTGCTCCACATCCCCACAGGAAGGAGGAACATTTGCCTACCTGGCAGTGCTGCTCCCCTGTGCCAGGTGGAATTCCCAGAACACTGCACAGTCTAACAGCTGTGCCAAAGGTGCCCCTAGGATGACACCCAGCCTTCCAGAGGCCAACAACAGCTCCAAAGGAAGAGTTGAAGAGAGGAAACACTTCTCAACACTGGCACCTAAGTTATTTCCTAGCTTTTTCTCAAAAATACTTAAAATCACTTTGTATTTCTGGGCCATTACTGAGCTCATGCTTTCATCCATCTATTTATTCTAATACCCAGATTCTGCAGGAAGGCAGCAATAATCATTTACATGTGAGGCACAAACTGTTTTCCCCCCCATGTGCATCACTTTCTATTAATCCACATTGAAATCATCATCAAGTCACTAATTTCACAAGATACTTCTACAGTTCTTTACCACTCTTCAGAGTTTGGATTTGCCAACAAGCTGCCACTTACTAATCACTGTATTTTCCCAATTTTTTCTTAGTGTTGAACAACAACATACCCTCAAGCACAGATCTCCATCTCCTCCATAACAAAAATTAACAACATATGCTCGCCCTCCATCCCAGCTCCTCATCCATATGAGAACCATTCCTTCCCCACTGTGCCATTTCTTTGGCAAACTTTGCCATGGGACACAGTCAAAACACATTCCTGAAATCCAAGCACTGTGCTGATGTCCTTTTCCAATAGACAGGTTGACTTAGAGAGCTCCAACAGATCTGGGAAGCACAACTTACCTTCCCAAAAGCCACGGTGACTCTTCCTCAACACTTCTGATTCCTGTGTTCCACAGTCTGTCTGTTAGAGCTCCTATGATCTGTTCAGTCCTCCTGGCTTGGGGTTCCCTGGATTTCCCCTGGAGCCCATCTGAGTCACAGCCACAACCTTCCAGCTGCAGACAGTTTTAAATGAGAAGGCACAGACCAACCAGCAGCTGAGAGAATTCCTTGACGAGTTCCTTTAGATCTGTAGGAACTCTCTGCTCATCTGTTTGTCTAGCTATTCCAGCACCTCTCCTGCTGGCACATCCCCACAAAGCAGCTCCATTCATCCTCAAACCAGAGCTCACAGGGATCTGACCAGTGCCTGGGGTCACCTCAAACTGGAGTTCCACAACACTTCCACCATCTCCACACGTCCTGGACACGCTGCTACACCCCAAAGATCCAGCAGAGCCTACACCAGCCTGGCAACAGCAAGGTTGAGGTTTCAACAGCCAGCACTGAGAAGGAACCAGAGGAGCAGCTCCAGAGAAACCAGTTTCACCAGTACACCCCAGTGCTGTGGGAACTGGCTGTTAACAGCCCTAGATTCCAACAGTGCAGGCTGGTAAGTCTGCAGGTGTTTTGCTGCTCCAGATGTTCCTGCAGCTCTTGAGGAACACAAAGGCTGCCCCTGGCATGGACTGGGGGTGCCTCTGGGCCAGAGCTGCTGCAGCAGATCTCCCTGGGCTCAGGTGGCCCCAGCAGGGCCTGCCTGGAAGCTGGGGGTCCCCAGGAGCCCTTTTCTGAGCTGGGGCTCTGGCCTTTCCTCTTTCTCCAAAGGTACAAGGGAGATCTCTGCCCTCCAAAGACATCTGCAGGGCTGGGAAGTGAAGACCCAATGATGTGCAGCAGTAAAATCTGCAGGATGTGCCCAGAGCCCGGGCTAGAGCTTGCCCAGGGGCCACAGGTGGTCACTGCAGGCTCTGCCAGGGCCACACCTGCACACACAGAGCACTTGCTGTGGTGGGTGTAGGGAATTGCTGCCCCTCCTAAACTGTCCAAGGCAGCTGCTACAGCTCAGCATCTGCACTGAGAACACAAACTCAATGGAACCCAGGGAATTTTCCACAAGTAAAAAGGTTTTCAAGTGCAATCCTAGCACAAGCATACAATTCCAGAATGACTTGGGCTAGGAGGGACCTTAGAGACCATGGAGTGACACTCCTGCCATGGAGGGACAGCTCCCACTGCCTCAGGCTGCTCCAAGCCCTGGCCTTGGACACTTGCAGGGATGGGGAGTCCACAACCTCCTGCTCCATAATGAGCTTAGAAAACAAGAGAGTACAGCCACACCACTCCACCTGAAATTATTATCCTTTTAATACCAAAATGTAACAAACAGCACTCATGAGCCTGGACTGTGCAGGCTGTGTTTCTGCTGTGAAAACTCTGCTAAATGTAAAGATTTGTGCTCTTAATGAGACAGAAAGCAGATAAACACTCGACAGATATTTTAATCCAGTATCCATGCCTCTCTGTAGCACTTTTTCCTTTCCTGTGACAGAAAAGGAACTACATATGAGAGAAAAAGAAAAAAAAACCAACAACTTTCTGCCAGAATAAAACCACTTAAAGAGAAGACATTTCTAACATGACATGGAACAAATGGGCAAGAGTCTGTAAGAAAAGAAAAAAGCCTCTTTTCCCTCCCAATTCTCTGTCCAAACAGCATTTCAAACATTAAAAGCCTGCCCACATAGCAGAACAAAATGATCAGAAAAGTTTTAAAAGTGCTGCAGTACATCACTGACTGAGTTTGAAGATGACTCACCTATTAGAAGAGAGTCCCCTGAATGGGATTCCATAATTGGTTTTGACAGGGGAGGTTTTGATCTGTGGGAAGAAGGAAGAAGCATCTCAGAGCAGTTAAGCCTGTTGAACAGTGTGCTTACAGTTTTTTTCTTATCATATATATATATAAGTGTGTGTGTCTGTGTGTGTGTGTGTATCAAAAGCAGCCAAGGGAATATCTCTGCCCTCTGCTGGAAAGGAAAACCTTTGCAAGTTTGGTGAAGTTTGAGCTGAGTTTCATACACAATTTCTTCAAGTTTGGAGAAAATCTTCCAAGAGAAATCCAGCTGCTCTGTAATGTGTCCTCAATAACCCTTAATGCATCCATTCCTACAGGATATTCCCATGCTGTCCTGCCTCCAGCTGATCTGGCACTTTTGGGAATTCAGCACTGTCCTCAACACTAAGAGAAGGCTTAATCACCTCTAATTGCCCTAATTGAGTGTCCCTGGCACACAGCAAGCTCTGCTTGGTTCCCTAAAGCTTCCACACCTCACCTTCCCCAGCCTGGGACAGTGGCTGCAGAGCCTGCCTGCTAATGAACCTTTATTCAAAATAAATTCATGGAATGGTTTGGGAAAGGACCTCAAAGCCCATCCAGTGCCAGCCCTGCCATGGCAGGGACACCTCCCACTGTCCCAGGAGCTCCCAGCCCCGTCCAGCCTGGCCTTGGGCACTGCCAGGGATCCAGGGACAGCCCCAGCTGCTCTGGGCACCTGTGCCAGGGCCTGCCCACCCTCACATCCCAGAACATGAAGAGTTTCTCAGCAGAGATGAAATAATGACACAGCCAGTCTCCCACAGCTGAACACAGGCCTCAGACTTACTTGATATTATGTATTTTTCTTGCAACGATCATTGGAAAATCCACTTCAAAATATTTTCTAGGGAGAAGATTTTCATCCTGGGAATTGCAGGAAGACACTAGAATTAGGGACACTCAAGTTTCACATGCACAGGACAAGACAGAACCTCAAATCCTGAACAGTTCTGGTTTGGCTTACGTTGGCATTTGTATCAGTGCTGTGACAACGTCCCACAGATTAAAACCCCCTAAAATCCAGCAAAAATTGGCTGAGAAACATCAGAATGCCCTCTAAGAGTTAAAGAAATTATTTAACACTTTATGTAATCACAGGATCCCAGGACAGCAGGGGGTGGAAGGGAGCTTTGGCGCCCATGCAGCCCAAGCCCTGCCCAGGCAGGGTCACCCAGAGCAGGTGACACAGGAACGTGCCCAGGTGGGGCTGGGATGTCACCAGAGAGGGAGAAAAATCGAATCTGATCTAATCCCAGACACCAGGTCACTGAAACACACACTCCAACCATGTGTTCTGGGGAGCTGGGAGAGCACAGCTACAGGAATCTGCCACAGCATATACCCCACAGCCTTCCAAGGAAAGAACAAGGCATGGTTTGCACACCCAGACAGTGACCACACTCCAGTTCTCCTCCAGCCCACAGCCAGAGCACCAGCACACCAGCCTGCCTGGACTACAAAAGAGGGGAGAGCTCTTCATTCCATGCTGGCAGAATTTCCCAGCCTGGTGGAGAAGCTGTGCCAAGTCTCTCCCCTTTGTGATGGATGCTGCTGCCTGTTCTGGCTGTCAACCCTGGGTTTTGAGATGAAAGCAGCACTCAGAGCACTCAACGCTCCAGGAACTGGCTCCCAGCTTCTGTACATTCATTACACCACACCTGCTCTCTGCAAGGACAAAGAATTGGAATTACAGGCCCCACTTCAGCTTTTAAAATCACCGTTACCAAAACAGGACATTGGCAGAGATTTTATAGGAATGCAGGTACGATAAAAGCTTCACATCTCATGGAAAAAAAATAAATCAGAGTTGTCTCCCTTGCACTGATGGAATACAGTGAATTGTGACCAAGCAAAATGCTCCTCAGGCTTCCCTCCAGAACCCAAATTTACCAATGTAAACGCTAATGAGAAGACAATTCACTCAGAGGTGTGTTCATCCAGAACAATATTGTCATACAACACTTGAATAACTGAATTTCCATGAATTACACACACACACAAACACTCCTGTGCATGGAACAGGGTTCCCAGAGCAGCTGTGGCTGCCCCTGGATCCCTGGAAGTGTCCAAGGCCAGGCTGGATGGGGCTTGGAGCAGCCTGGGACAGAGGAAGGTGTCCCTGCCCACAGCAGAGAGTGGGACTGGATGGTTTTCCAGATTCCTTCCAATCCAAACCACTCTGTGATTCCATGATTTCCATGAATAAACTCACAACTGAAATCCCAGGGGACGTGAGGGAAGTGTGGCAGTGGGTCAGGGAGTGATCCTGCCCCTGCACTCATCCCTGGTGGGGCACAGCTGCAGGGTCCAGTCCTGATCTCCAAGAAAGACCCAGAGCTGCTGGAGAGGCTCCAGCAGAGGCCACAGAGAAGATTTGGGGTCGGGAGCATCTCTGTGATGTGAGACTGCAGGAGCTGGGCCTGCTCAGTCTGGAGAAGGGAAGGCTGAGAGGGGATCCCATCAATCCATACAAATCCCTCCCAGGGGTGGCAGAGGATGGTGCCAGACTCTGTTCAGTAACAGGACGAGGAGCAATGGCCACAAACTAAAACACAACTTCCACCTCGATGTGAGGAAGAAACTCTTTCCATGAGAGAGGAAAGAGCAGAGCCCTGGCGTGGCAGAGCCCTGGAACAGCTGCCCAGGGAAGGTGTGGAGTCTCCCTGAGGAGACATCCCAAACCCACCTGGACACGTTCCTGTCACCTCCAGGTGACCCTGCCTGGGCAGGGGGCTGGACTGGATGAGCTCCAGAGGTCCCTTCCAAGCCCAGCTCTCCTGGGATTTGTGAGAGCTCCTGCTGTGCTGCCCCCCTGCCCTGTGAGACAGAGCCAGCCTGGAGCAGCCCAGAGCAGCCCCCCACAGGTCCCCCAGCCCCGTGTCTCCTGCCAGGCCTGTCCCTGCAGCTCTCCTTACCTTCAGCCTCCAGAACAGGGTGTCCATGCCAGCCCCAAGGTTAACAATCTGACAGTTGCATTCTGTCTTCTCTAGGAAAGCCTTGATCAGGTAACTGACCCCATGCACACGAGCATAATAACCTGCAAAACACACAAACCCTGTTACTGCCACACAACACTCGATGTTTAACACTCAGCAACACCTCCAGGCAGTCTGCAGGAAGAACAATGCCCTCTTTTCAAGATACCTAAGGGCTTTTGCCTTTCCTTTTTAATTACAAACAAAACCTCATGCACTGATGAAACTCAGCTCCTTGGGTAAATGGAACTTTTAGTCAAGTTTCACCTCAAGCAGAGCAGAATAATTCTACAGCTGCAGACACCCAACTGTCCTGGGTCAAACCAACACTTCTGACTGCACAGAGGAGTCAGAAACACTGGGACACACAGAGACAGCCCATTCAGAACACAGGGAGCAAAGGAACAGAGTTTTGATTCACAGATTGATATTTAAGAGATCAGCTACAACACGGAATTTCTGCTGTGAAGACACCTTGTCTCAATTCCTGCACACGTTCCCTCCCTTCCCTGACTCCCAGCGTGCACAGGTTTTCTCAGGACACGTGAGGTGTCCCCATTCCAACTTGCCTCTGTTGATCTCAGGTGCTTTCCTTTCTTTGGCTTGTCTCACAAAATACTGGATGTAAGGGTCCTTCCAGTAGCCAACACTCACAGCAAACCTGTGCAGCAGCAGGGAAAAGAGAGGATGATGAAATGCGGCCACCAAAATTTACCCTAAGAGATAGAGAGGCTGGAAAAGTCCCTCTGGCCTGGGTGTGCACATACAGACATGCTTTAAAAACCTGTTCTCTTAATTCAAGTAGTTCCACACACATATTATATGAAGCTTAGTTAGAAATTTTAGCTGTTGCCATATTCAACAAGCATCTCTTTAATGGCTGCTTCACTATTGGATGAAATTTTGCAAGCAAAGACCCAAATCTCAAATATTCTCTCCTGGGGGACCCAGAAAATGAATTGTTTGTCTCCAGACACACAAATCAGGCTTTACTTCTGCACACCGTTACATGACAAGGCGTTTGCACTTATCCCAGAGCTCCTACACATCACTTTAGCACAACGTTACTGTTTTAACACAACTTCTTTGTTTTCCAATTGATTCCGAAAGGAAAACTCTCCACCCAAGCATCTGCTGCTACCGAAGCCAAAGGGGCAGCCGGACCGACCAGCAGTAACAGAGCACAAATTCACACGCAGGCACAAGGAAACTCATCCCGTTCCAGAGCGCATCCTGCAGCAGGAATCTGGAAACTTCGGGATGTTCCTCCCTGAGGCACCCGGAGCTGCCCACACCGCTCGGAGCCGGGGCTCGGAGCAGCCCTGCCCGGGGCACCGGGGGGATCTCCCGCACACGCCCCGGGCCCGGCTCCGA